TCTTTGATACCAGTATAAAATAAATCAGCCTGAGATGAATAGTAATCCTTCCTTTTTCTACTAATAATCTCCTTTTTGATTGCAGAAAATGTCTTTCTTGAATAGCAGCAGAAACATCAAGAGATAATTCTTTTCTCCTTACAATCTACAATCTCCAGTGCTCAAACTAATTTTAAAACTTGACTTATCCTGGAATTCAAGACTATTACAACTGCCACTATTGGTTGTTCAGAAGACATTTATAATGGAATACAATACCACTCTTAAGTGATTTAAACAGAATCTCATCATCTCCTGACAATACATTTCTGAAGAGTTTTCTACAGGTAATACACGTATTTCCGTTCTTCTTTTCCCATTAGGAAGTCTTGCTTAGCCTGGCTTATCCTTCACGTCCTTCCATCTTTCATTTTTTCTATAATACTATTTTGGATGGATTTGTGCTCATTTCAGTTCAAGCTCTGTCCTGGATTCTATTTTAATCCTGATCTCTTACATTGTTACAAAATGCTGTGCTATAAGGAAAGCTTTACAAGTAACACAGTATACACACACAAAGTAAATAATTATATTTGTTGAAGATTATAAATATAATATATACATTTGTTTCACATTTCATAGACAGGATTTCCTATAAAGGCTTCTCAAGGTCTGGAATAGCTAGAACAATATGTCTTAGTCTTATAGGAATGCTTTTTGGTATTCCAATAACATAATACTTGGTAACATAAATGGGAAATCAGATCAACTTCTCTCAAAGTGGTGTGTCTTTATATCTGAGAGAAACAAAGGGTCAGAAGATGGAAATCCATGAAGACAGGGAGGGGAGAAATGAAACTGAACACTTCATCATAACTCGCAGGATGGGAACCACCCGAGGATGCTGAGGGAGCTGTTGGAGGTGATAGCCAAGATGCTTTCCATTATCTATCAGTGTTCCTGGTAAACTGGAGAGATCCCAGAGGATTGGAGGCTTGCCACTGTGACTCACATCTAAAAGAAGGTCATAAGGAGGATTCAGAGAACTACAGGCCTTTCAGCCTGACCCCAGTGCTAGGTAACATTATGGAGTAGATCATATTGAGAGAGATTGCATGGCATGTGCAGGACTGGGGAATCAGGTCTAGACATCATAGGTTCATGAAAGGCAGGTCCTGCTTGACCAACCTATTCTGTGACCAGCCTGGAGAATGAGGGAAAGACTGTTGATGTAGTCTGCCTAAACTTTGGCGGACCTTTCAACACTATCTCCCATAGCATTCTGGAGAAGCTGGCAGCCCATGGCTTGGACAGGTACACTCTTTGCTGGGTTAAAAACAGGAGGAAGGGCTGGGCCCAGAGAGTGGTAATGAATAGAGTTAAATCCAGCTGGTGACCAGCTATGAGTGGTGCTCCAAAAGTTGGTACTGGGGCCTGTACTGTTCAAGATCTTTATTGATTACCTGGATGAGGGCATTGAGTGCACCCTCAGTAAGTTTGCAGATGACACCAAGCTTGCAGAAAGCGTCTATCTGCCTGGGCGTAGGAAGGCCCTACAGAGGGCTGGATAGGTGGATGGAGGCCAATGGGATGAAGTTCAACAAGTCCAGGTCCTGCACCTCAAACATTTTGATGATGTTGCATTCTGCACTCAGAGACACCATTTCATCAGACACGTTTAAAGTGTTTCACACACACACTTTGAAAAAATTCAGTCTACTGAAAAGGAAACAAGTCAGTGAATGGACGATATTTCCCTTAGGCTTTATCTTACTGTCAGTCACAGAAATACACTTCTTTCCTGAATGAAAACAGTCAGAATTACAGACAGTATTCCAGATATAATCCCACAAGTACCTCATGATATTGCCCTGTATCTATCAGAAACATCTCTCTTGTGATTGCATTTGATTTTCTCATGTGACATTAGTAGCTGTAATCATACATTTCTCAGTCAGTATCCTTCTATCTCTTTTTCTTCTGTCATTTCTAAATTATGAGCTTCCAGCTATTACAGGAATACCTGCAATTAATCCTGGCACGCATTACTTATCCTTTCATCCTACTTCTGTTTTATGTCTGAAGTCTGTTCCATTCCTCCCTTATTTCACTTGGCTATTACTGTGTTGATAAGAACTCCTATTTTTGTGCCATCAACAGATATAATTGCTCCTCCTCTACACTAAGGCCTTTAATGAAAATATTGAATAAAACCAGTCCTCAACTTCAGTTTCCATTCTAGTGAGCCTGTGCATCTTACACATGCCTGTGTTTTAGGAGTCTAGTAAAACTAAATTACATTATGTGGTATGCATGCATATACAGCGTGGGAAAAAGCTTTTGTTTTTGAAGACTTACAGGCACGGGTCCTTTACTCAGCATTATTTTTTAATTGTCTCTGCCTGTGTACTGAAATCATGGAGAGATATTACATATAAAAAAACTCAAATGATCATTTTTTATTAGATCTGCTATTAAAAATATCTTACACTGTAATCCCAGGAGGCTTATGCTCCAGGAACTCCAGTAGATTCAACACAGTAAAAAGTGCCATCTGCTGAAGATGATGAACCACTCACAGCTCTTTCTTATAACATCAGTCTTGGCCTATTGATGGGTCTTTATCTTCTTAATCCACGTGGGTTTTCTTTGCCTTTCCGGGAACAGGGAAAAAACCATGAAAGATGACCAGAAACTTGTTTGAGCTGAGAAGTTTCAGCAAAAACCTGCCTTTGCAATCTCCCTGTATGAACTACCTCTGTATGAACTTCTCCAGTCAATATCTTTTCCATGCTCCCAGATGTGACCCTGCCTTTTCCTTCAGACCAACTGTGTTGTCCAGTCTGTGTATCGTTTTTGACAGTGTTTCACTATCATAGAGTTATAGAATCATTAAGGCTAGAAAAAACCCGTAAGATCATCTAGCCCAACAGTTCATGTACCATCAATGCTGCCCACTAAAGCACGTTCCTTGGTACCATGTCTACACGTTTCTTGAGAAACTCACACTATCTCCTCCTAGTGCTGGTATGACTTTCAAATTCTCTTCCTGCTATTCTCCCCAGCAAATGATTCTGGTCCCTCTTTTCCCAGTGCCTCCTACATCAGAATTTAAAATAAGAATTTTCTGATTTCTTGAAAGGTTTTTCTACCCAGTACCCAGTCTGTGAGAACATCCAGTGGTGAATGCTACACTGTGGAGAACATGATGAGACCGCTGGCTGGGGCACTCTCTGAGGCTCTTGGACCACATAATTAGTGGCTGCCTGATCATAGCACCCCATTCAATGTATTTAAAATAAGATGATGAATCTACCCTCCGTCAAATTTTCTAATTGTTTCTATATTAAGAACTGAAATATTCAGTTGGCACTGAGAGCCATAATTTGATTACACACTCTGTGAGAAAAAAAGTACTTTCTCTTGCATTATTTGCTGCTAATCTGCTGCCTCTAACCTTACTAACTGCCCTCTAATTCTGGCATTGTAAGAAACATAATAATCATTTTCTATCCATTTTCACCACAGTACCCTGAGGCCTTTTTCACAGCCACATCTTTTCATATCTAAGCAATTCTTATCTATTTAATTTCTGGAAGACATGCATCTTTGTACATTTGTTTGATTTTTTTATTTTTTTTTTAATCAAATCCTTCTGTGCCAAAATTATCTGGACTGCATATGATCTTTAAGCTGAAAGCACTCCTTACAGTCATAGTGTCATAAATGTACTTCATGAGACAAAGTGAGATCCCTAAAGGCAATGTAATGGCACTAGAAGAGTAACTTCCTCAGCCAGGAAGTCTCTGAGAACTGTTTTTCTCATCATTTCCTGGTTGGGACCTAGTATTCCCCAGGCTATGGAGGACCAGAACTGACTCCTACGTATAATTCCCAACTAAACATTCTAAAACATTTTGGAAGAATTTTAAGTAATAACTAGTTAAGACACAAATAGAAAATAACCAATCTCTCTCTTGGAAAATATTCCCCTGTCTTAAACCTAGCTGTGGCAAAGAGCAATAAATGTTCAAATGTGAGAAAGAATGAAAGAATAACTCTAACATTTAGTTTTAGCTACCTAAAAGCCATGTGTATTCAGTACTGAAACGTCAGAACCAAACTCCTCTGCCAACATTTTGAATTACCTGAAATTCCATTTTCTCCCAATAACACATTCCCCATAAAAGTAGTGCAACCAATTCTAGTTAATGGTCTTCACTAAAAAAACAGCGAAGCAGAATGAGTCATATTCTCGGTTGGGGATGTAGAAAAGATGACGAAGGAATGAAAAAGTGGGCAACATGAGTAGAATCTGTAAGTCTGATGATGTTACAGTGATCCAGCTTCCTTTGTTCTTACGTGGGCATAAATAAACTAATGTTGGCATTTCATTATAATGAGACCCAATTAAAAATTCTGTTCTTCAAGGCCTAATTCTGGTTCTGCTTTTCTACAGAACCGAGAACCAAACAGTCACAGTAAGTAATTATTTACAGTATCACCCAAACCAGGCATTTCCTTTCTAAAAATCTGTTACCCTTTTTAAGCAGCTATTTCCAAAAACTCAGTCAAGAACAAAGGCTTTATTAAGGTTTTTACATGGCAACTGGAGATTTCTGATAAAGAAATACAGGTTGTGTATACTTAAGCATCTACCTTTTCTTATATTTCCCTAGTTTTTTGTTTGACAGTACATCTAGGTATGTGGTTGAAGGGAAGCTTTGAGAGCTAGGAGTGAAAAGGGGTTCTTTTTGTGCAAATATCTTTGTTGATTTCCTGGACTGTTTCCATTCACTTGGGTTTTACTATCCTTAATATTACAATACATAATCCTGCTTTTCATGGGTTAGCTGTCAACAAAGGGAAAATTTCAATGATTCATCGTGAATTTTAATAGACTTTTGCATGACTTATTGATGTGAATATGCTGCAAATAGCTGGTAGGACATTAAAGGGCAAACAAAATGTTTGGGTTTTCTCTTTAACATAGTTTGGAATTGAACAGTGTAAACAGAACATAGTCATCACCACTTTATTTTATGTCATCCCAATCTACCGTCAAATCCTTCTCATATACAAATTCACTTATTTTGTCATCTTGATTACCTAGAAATCTTGCATAATGAAATATTATTTACACTGTGTATGACTCACAATTAATTACAAATAAAAATTATACAAAATGATTAAAATATATCATTACATGAAAAGCAAGGAAGATACAGTGGATGTTCGGATCACCTATAAATGCTTACATATTTGTACATGTCTTTCTAATCTGAAATTAGTAGATGATATATCTGACGATTTTGATCAGGAATATTGGTTCTTATGTCTGCACTACGAAATGGAAGCAATATTTCCAGACATAATGAGCCACTTAAGAAACATTTATGATACTGCATAGGATGGAGCATAATAATCTTAGAAAAAAAATTGATATTTTTATCAATATAAAATATTGATAAATATTGGTAAAATATAAGCAATTTAATTCATGCCATACAGATACATTGTATATTAAACCAATACTGTAAGATGGCATTGTAAATAAACATGGCAGAGCTGTAACATTTTAAAAATAAGCAATTCACAGGGCATTTGTATCATAAAATAGCAGATGTACAGTATTATTTACATTGCAAACCAAAGAGATAGTAACCCTCACGAAACCTCAGCAAACAATTTGGTCAAACCATTGATCACAGACCTGATTCATAAAATATGCAGGAATGTGGGCAGAACAGATGGAAAAATAAGTCCTCATATATCTGAAATGCTGCATTATGTACTGGGTGTGTGACCCCTCTCTCCAGCCACCCATGCATGAGGTATGGCTGCAGTCCCACCACCTCACTCACGGTGTTTGCAGAAGGCTAAAGTACACTTTGAGGCCCCCCGCATCCCTTTTGTTCCTTTTCACTTCAGCACATGCAGGACCGCAGCCTAACTGGCCCATGTAACTACATGTAAAATCCAGATGCAGGTAAGGGGAAGTGCTGTCTTGCTCCACACAGAGCACTTTACACCAGTGTGCCGGATTATGGTTCTGTTAGCAGACTAAGCATTACCCAGCAAATACAACGCTTGCAGGATCAGACCATTGATGTCTTACACAGCAAGGAGGGTGGGATATGGTTTCAAAGCTTTTTGCAGACTTTTAGCCCAAGGACTCCTATTAGCTGTAACAACAGCCCAATGATTTTTCATCGCAAGGATGAGGGAGAAGTTTGGTCTGTAGTTGTTCAGAACACTTGGTTTTGGGCATGGCAACACTGACAAAGGCTTTGACTGTGCTGTAACAACCTGATTTATTAGTGGAGGCTTAGGACCACTACAGATCACTCCTGATTCACTGTAGCATTCAAAATTCACAAAGCCTTGATTTGTGGAAAATGCACCTTATTTGCTGAATCCCAATATGGAATTTGGATATTAATCACTTCAGCAATTAGTCATCAAATAATGCTTATTAAAAAGGACAGTCACCTCCTGCCCCACACCAGTGCTGTAGCTACTCAGTAAATATTTACCTCCCGAGCTCAGGTACATCTTCTATAAGACCAAAGATCAGCACTGACCGTTGTATTTGAATGGTGTCACTTTCACATGTGGCAATAGGAAACAAGTTTTAAAAGAACACAAATTTTGACAAATGAGTTCTACATCACAACTTTCCTCACACTTCACACCCTCTCTCCCATTATCTTTTTTGTTCCAACATATTTCATATAACAGAGAGCACACAGTAGAAGTCATGTACTACTTTACATACAAAATCCAAAATGCTGCAAATTTCATTTTTTACCCAAGGATTCATCAGAGTGAAATGCATGACCACGTGTCTGTGCTAAGTGAGCAGCATGTCAGCATCTGTTGTGCCTATAAACTTCAGCTCCACTGGCTGAGATGAGCCAAGTACATTTGCAAACTTGGTCTGTTCCTAGCAGAAAGCTCAACATACCCATACAAAACTACTCTAATCTGAAATACAGACTTTTTAGTGCATGTCTGTAGTCTGGCCTTTATCCAGCAGACTTCTAGCAGCCGAGACAGAGCTAATGACACAGTTGAAGAGGTGTCAGAAAAAAAACAGACCAAAAAAAAAAAAAAAAGTTATCACAGAAGTGATGAAGCAGTTACTCATCCATTTCATTGCATGGGAAACAAGTTTGCAGCAAACTACCCGATGCACTCCCCACTTGTGGTACTGGAGTAATGCAGAGACATAGATTCACGCTAACTTTCTGAATGGTTGGAGAAAAATAGTAAGTACTGTCTGGATGGTATCTTGAGCACCTGGAAGTGCAAATGAGCTGGTACTTTTCAAACCATGTTATTGCAGTGCTTAGAAAGCAAAGCTCTGACAACGCTTTCCATAGAATACACTACATTTGTGATGATTGAAGTCAGACCTGGCAGCTGAATTGCATTTACAGAATGATTGGATAAAGTAACCAGGTAACTTCCCTTTTCAACTCTCTCTGTATATAAAACTTCTGGATTTGTTGTACCAGTATCTTATTTGATCACCTATTCACTGCTTTCTCTCTGAAATATAAGTTGGTTATCCTGGTCACAGTCAGGAAGAAAATGTTCTTCTGTATAGTTTCTCTGGAAAAAAAACCAAAATTTTTTACTGGTTATTATGTTACTAATATGATAAAAAGTAATTAATGCGAGCTACCTACCTGAGGAATAGGTCAAATGAAGTGAGAACTCTCTTGAAGGAAACCCATATGATTTTTTTAAATAAATTCTCCATATCATTAAACTTCAAGATAAAACAGGAAGCAGAAATTAGAACAATTTTTGATGAAGGCTGTATCCACATCAAAAGCTTCAGAAAATATGCCTTCTATAAAGACTCAAGAAATTTTGCAAAACTGAGAGGTAACGCAAGGTTCTTCAGAATGCACTCAGCTGAATTTCAGAGGTATCTCTGCTGTTCTGTTGGTAACTAGCAACTCATAAATGAGATTATAGATTTATTTATGAATCAGGTACTGTGCAAAGATCATGCGCTAAGAGAGCTCATTACTTTCCCTTTCAAACGCATTTACGAAGGATTGGGGTAGGATAAAGCCCACCACAAGTTAACTAGAAGCACGAGAAAAGAGAAGTTGTTGAAGAGAAATGTTACTGTTTAGACAACCTTTAGTACTCAGACAAGGCAAAACTTCTTTGCTTGGTCCTGTAATGAACAATAAAATCTGTATTTTGTTTATAAACATTTATATGAATACTAGCCTAAAACTAGAGGCATTGAAATAGAAGATGTATAGTATATTGTATATTGCTTTCCTTATAGAGTGTACGTTATGTTTCTAATATAGTGACAAACAGTAAAATTTTTTGGACAATCTAAAAGAACCTCATTGTAACAAACAACATTATAGCAGGTCACACTATGAAAGCAAAATGTGAAGCCCCAGTGCAGTGCAGGCATGTCATTAAAAGATAAACTGGAATGTTTTTAGAAGGCTGTTTTACCTTTCCATTCTCTGTTAACAACATGTCTGCATGTGTTCTGTAAAGTTTCTTCTTCTTGTTTGAGACCTTGAATTCTTTGGATAAAGGAAGAGCAAAGAAGGCAAACTGCCCTCCATTGTTATAGTCAGCAAGACTCATAACATCAAAGTTTAAGTGAAAGGAAGTAGAAAGACAAAAGTATCAACAGAAGCTGACCAGGCCATGAATATATGTTTTGTTTCTTCTAAAGAAGGCCCAGATTATTGGCCTTTTTACTGTTTGCATTTAGTGGAGAGAAAAAAAAAAAAAAAAAAAAAAAGCAACTCGCCAGAAAGAGATTCAGGACCAACATTCCCTGATTGATCTCTCCAGCCTGCAAGGTTTACAGATAGCGTCTGCTTTTTTGTTTTCCAGCAACTCATGGAGAAAGATTCCTTGTTCTGTGGAGGACTGTGTAAACAACAATTCACAGAATGTCAGTTTCAAAACAAGAAGAATAAACTTTAGCTTACATATTTGTCAGAAGCTCATAGGGTCACAGCTATCAAGATATACATTCTATTATAGGAAGAGCAGTACAAATGTTAAAGCTTTTAAGCCTGTATGTAATTCACTGCACGCACAATTTTCCCATGGCCTACACATATGGCACATCAATTTATTACATAGATTTGTGTTTCCACAGAGGGATTAATACTGAATTCTGCCGTGCTATACCAGTGCTGCAGCCTTGAATAATTCTTGCTGAATGACACGACACAGGTTTGGTCAGTACATGTATTGCGCACGTCAGCTGCTTCCAGTCAAAGTCACAAATGATAGAACCAAACTTCACTGTTTTGTTTTCAAGTAGATAAGTCTTTGGTTAATCATAAGTTCAGTTGGTCTGGGAAACAGCCATAACTGAAACAGTAATTTTCAACCAGAGGTACTGTAACTTCCAGACCATTAAATGCCAAATAAATTCACAATAACAAAACTGAAATGCAGCATGAGATATTTTGCGCGGGTTCTGTTTCTTTTGGTAGGTGGATTCCTTTCTTGACAGCTAGGAAAAGTAAGAAACCAGTCTGGATTTTGTTGTTACCCCATTGGTTTCAGTGTGGGAAGATCTTGGCTTACATGCTTTGCTGAGCTTTTTTGTCCACATGAGCTCTCAGTAAGAGTCTAACCTGCCATATTTTTTCCTAGAAGATTACAGGTCACAGTTTGAAAATAATACCAGATTCATGTAGTACTAAATTGATCTCATAACCATTAAGGTAACAGAAGTGTACAGAGATACCACTCTACCTCTCCTATACATTACTGAAACAGAAATATTGCTGTTAGTTGGGTTACCATCAGCTCTACAAGAAATCCTATGCAAACTACTACTGTTCACAAACACCACAGTGCTCTAAACCCTGTCAGAGCTCCACTATTACTTAATGACATCCAACATTACCTTTATGGTAAGCATTCTTTGTTGATATACGCTGCATTACTTGCGTACGTGCTTGCAGCATTACAGTGTTACAGAACACAATAAAATCAATTTTCAGAACTCATTGGCACTCAGGGAAGATTGGCCCACTTCCAGGAGAGCAGACCTTGAGTTGGTCAGTATTCACATTTTAGGATACTAAATACTTTCATCCAGTTTGCAAAACAGAGAAGTGAGAAACAAGGGGCAATTCTCAGCCACCAGAAAGCTGAGAGTAAAACTTCACTGAACTGCTCCTTCCCTTTGCTCTGCTCTGAGCAAACAGTTGACCACTAATGGCTGATAACTCCTAAATTCCTACTCCTAAAACTGAGTACCACAGACTCAAGTGAATATTCTCCTTCCTACAATAAACCAGATTTCTTACTTGTAGCTACATCTTACCTCTGCACATATCTGGCCCTGTTACAGGAGGTGTTTGAAGCAGCTCAGACAGAAATTAGCCCTCAGGTTTTACTTTGGCAACACTGAAATCAAAGGGAAAAGGCAAAAGATAGATCTCTAAGGCATCAAAGAGTAATCATTCTGGAGTTACCTGCAGAGGAAATTTAGATGAGTCTGAACAAATTGCCAGGTAAACCACCAATTTGAGAATTGTATTTGACTCCTGGAGGAAAGTGACAGATCTAAGTAGCAGAAACATGAGGTTTCCTATTCACAGTTTCATAACTTTCATGAGTTTTCCTTTGGATGGGAGGAGTGAGGGGTCAGACAGTATGGAGACAAAAAAACTTTCAAATTGTGATCGTTCTTTTAGGAGAATTCTGCATGCAAAGTTCAGCATGTATTCAGAGACTTTGGGATGAGTCTGAATCATGACTTGATGAGTCCAAGCTGTGAAGTCTATGCCAATAACACTGGCTTGTTTTTGAAAAAGTCTTGTAATCGTTGATTTATCTCACTAAAGAAATATAAATCACTAGAACTTTATCAGTAAGTAGCACTGAGTTACTTTTCCACAATTGTCTGTAAGAGCTCCAAACATAGCTGATTAGTATCAGCTATAGGGCTGGAGAAGATCATGCCTTCCACCAAAACAAGGATGGATGCCAAGGATGTGTGACAGCTCAGAACGATCCCAGAAGTAAACGATAAAACCACCTACTATCTCAGGATAGCTATCATGCACTGCAGCATCCACATATTTGTGTTTTTAATTCCCAAACATTTTTCTGTATATTTTGTCATATTATGTTCTATAATATAAAGTATAACATGAAATGCGTGCACAATGTGTAGGACGTGAAACACAGACAACTGCTGGTGCTGCTTGTCCCAACATTCCTGTTTCACTACCAGTCCTTAATACTGCAGTAACACCAGATAAATGGAACTGATGCTATCTAAATCTAAAATCAGAAGTATTCCCATCCCCTCTGACAATGATGAGCAGTGGGTGCCAAAAGCACAGAATTTACAAATTATTTACAATATTTACTAATATTTTTTGCAGCAATTTCATTCACTGATAGAAGTTATTGTTTATACCCTACACTTGACAGTGCCTCAAATCTAAAATGCAGAGATTTTACCGACAGTACACAGAAAAGGCACATCCTACAGAATGAATTTCTAAAGAAAGTGGTAAAGATTATAGAATCATTAAAGTTAGAAAAAACAACTATGTTAATCCAGTCAGACCATCAATCCATCCCCACCATGCCCACTAACCCATGCCCTTTTCTTGAACATCTCCAGGGACAGTGCCTGTACCACCTCTCCGGGCAGCCTGTGCCACTCACTGCCTCACTGCTCCTTCTGAGAAAAAAGATTATTCCTGGTCTGTAAGTTGGTCTGCTTCTGAACACAGAAGTAAAAATAATTGCTTAAATCATAGTACAAATTGCATGCAACTGCTGCCAGCCTGATGCAGCTGATAAAGCAGCACCTGAAGGCTGGATCCAGAAGGTGAATAAAACAGAATCAACACTAAATCCTGACATTATTCCAGTTGGCAACTCTGGTTATTTTGAGTGTAATTTTATAGCTAACTTGCGACAACAAAAACTGCTCAACCCAAGGCTTTTTCTCCATGTTATGACACTTTGATTTGCCTTCACCTCTGCTCCTGAACCAAGCTTCTCTGGCAGACACACAGTGCCTATTTTTAGCTCTGTGAGCTACTAATCCAGTTTCTCTGACAACTGCAATTTGCTGGAAGAAGCGACTGGTGTTACGATGTCTCAGAGCTATGAGCCCATTTGAGAAATTAGCGTCTTAGCTGACCTTTAAAGCAAGTGAGAATAATGCGCCTGCAGTTGTGCAGGGTTTGGATTTCATTATCGCAGCAGCACATACAAAGCAGGATGCCCCTTCTGCACAGCTATGCCTCTCTGATTTGTTTTCCTGGTAATTATAGAAACTGTTTACATGGAAAATCTGCAAGTTTTCTCAGCTAGGGAAGACAATACTGCTCCTAATTCCTTTTCTCTGGAGAGAATGACAGTTCACAGAACAGAGGACTGTTCTTCCCAAGAACTTTCCCACGGCCTCCCCAACCAGGACTGCAATGGAAATCACTGCAGATGGCCAAGGGCAGGAATGGCGATAGCAGAGATGGAAGGGTGGGAGAAGGATGGGAGTTGTACAGCAGCATCCCTGAATCTTCCCACTCACCTCTGGTTCAGAGCTCAGTCCAAGGCCCTTTGAAACTCTG